GATCCGAACTGGGGTCCTGCTGCTCAGAGCTGGCATCCCAAGCCAACTCTTAACCAATGTGCCACTCGGCCAGCTCTCTAATGCATTCTTTATTTCACTTGTTGTATTCTTCACTTTTGACTGGTTCTTTTTTATGGCTTCTACATCCTTTTTTATGCTTGCTATCTCTTTGTTGAAGTTCTCACGAAGTTCCTTAAGCATCCTTATAACCACTGTTTTGAACTCTGTATCTATTGTAATAGGTTGGTTGTCTCCATTTTGTTTAGTTCTTTTTCTGGAGTTTTCTCTTGTTCTTTCATGTGAAATGTAGTTTTTTGTTTACTCATTTGGCTGCCTATCTGTGTTTGTTTCTGTATAGTAGATAGATCTGCTACATCTCCCTGTCTTGGCCTAGTGGCCTTATGTAGTAGGTACCCTGTGGGTCCCAGTAGCACAGTCTCCCTTGTCTGCTATATTAGGTGCTCTAGGAGTGTCCCTTGTGAGGGTTGTGTGTGCCCTCCTGTTAAGCCTTGATTGCTACTGGCAGGTCAGTTGGTGGGAATGATTTTCAGGTTGACTGGGTATAGGGTTTGGCCACATCAACAGCTTACAGGCTGCTGTGCAGGGGGCTTAACCCACAGAGCGGGTTTTCCTTCAGTGGGCTCTGGTGCCTATTGAGACCACCCTTTGTGTGTGCTGCTTGTGGGGATAATTAGGTGGTATTCTACTGTGGTCTGAAGCAAACCTCCAGCTATGGTGGTTCTGGGGCCTCTTGGGAGGGGCTCCGGTGCAGGCCCAGGTCAGCCACTACCTGTGGACTGGCTGGGGACCACCTGGTAGGAGCTACCAAGTTATCCATGATATGTCGCTGCCAGTGCTAAACCTGGAGGCANGTATGGTAAACTGGAAGCGTGTAACAAACATGGGAGGTCGTAATGTTTCCAGGATATGGCATCTTGCCATTGACCACAGCCTTCTGGAACAAGATAAAGTCATTGAAATAGTTAACAGATGTTAGCCATACTTGAAATGCAAGAGTTCTATTGCTAAATATTATGTAGGTTCAGATGGAGATTTGGCGCTTGGTCCATAATTTAACTGACTTGGCAAATGGAAAGTTGAGATCCAGAGGCATACGCAGAATATTGAGGCCACACACACTTTGCACGCTATGCAGGAACTCATAAACTACTGACAATATGTACACTGTGCTAAGCCAGCTTGATTAAGTATTAACACAGTATTTGATACTTAGGGAAATCTGAAGTCAATTTTCACGTCTACTAAATTAAAAAGTTATTTCTATAACAGCAAAAGAGCAGACTTTTCTCCAGGTTCAAAAGCATGTCTACAAATTTTATTATTTAGCTTCAGCTTGCAATTTACCTGATGGCTGGTATTTCTGTTGACTTCGAAATGTATCCAGTTCTTTTAAAAGTATCTTTTTATTTTTCCCACTCTTGTCTATTACTTCAGATTTCAGAACAAATTGACACTAATGATTTTCAGATGAATATCTGTAGCTGAAAGGGATCTTCTCAGCGTTAAGTCACAAATTCATTTAAGTCAAGCATTGAAGGAGGCTTGTGCTACTTTAGAGTTTGTGGTTTTATTCACAGCTTTGCAAATAAAGTTACCAGCTTCCATCACTTTGTAAAGATTCACACCCTGGTAAGAGAAAGAAGAGATGCCAGAGAAAAGAGGTGTTAGGGAGAAAGAGGACAAAACAGATCCTTTTTAATTTTATTAGTAGTCACGTAACCATTTAAAATTACCAAACAAAATATTGCTCATTATTGATTTGGGGGCAACTCTTGTTTTCATGAACCATGTAGTCAACATTTTAGATTTTTCTGCTTTATTAAAACCTATCTTGAATTTGACCCTTGTATAAAACCACAGGCTAGCCACACCTGAATAAATCAGTGCAATTCAGGTTGGTACCTAAATTCTAGGAAAGACAACAAAATAACTAGAGCAATCTACAAAATATCAGTGAAAGCCAACTAGAATGATAATGGTTTGGAGAAGTTTACAGATAAGGACTTAGGGAAAAAAATACCTCTTTACTACATAAAAAAATAATCTTGATAAAGCTATAGGAAATACAGGAAGGTTGAATGTGTATTTTTTTTAACTAGATACAGAAACGCCATTACTGGTATGATATTGAAGGAGGTAGCTGTAGGTCAAATAAAATGAAGTAGTATTAGTAAACATCTGGAAGTTGTTTGCCTGAGAGGTTGCACTGTCTGTTGGAATAAATAGGATCCACAAAGGCTTAGGTAAATCCATGGATGACAGATAAGTAGTTGGGTACAAAGGCCAAGTTCAAGTTATGCTCCTCATCTCTATGGCTAGGGGTTAACAAAAGGTCACCATTGAGGTCACCACCCAGCACCTTGACTGTCACTAGGGGAGGAAGAGCATTAGGTGGATGAATCAGAGATTTGCACTCAAGTAGTACCGCATAACTCTTCAACATGGACTAGAAACAATGTGGAATTAAAATTGAACAGATTCAGTCTTCCTTGCTATTGAGTAGATTTTAATATTTTTGTAAATCTGTCATTTTCTTAAAATAGAGAAATATAAATACTCATAAGGGCTTTTTATAACACTGATCGTAAAGAGATCATCATTCTAATATACCTAACTACTTCTCTCTAGAAACTTTTATAACACTGTTCTCTTTGTAGTTTACTTCTCTTTAATTAAGAATGATCAACACGAGTATTTCGTAAAATGACACATAAATGAGTTTCATTATTTCTTTGTATTATAAACTTGTTCTTAGGGTACTAACACTTGCTTTGGTTTGAGAAATTTGGTTTTGTCCTGGTAATGGCTTTAGGTAGATTACATGGCACATTTTAGTTTAACATCCTTAATCTAGTGATATTTAAATTTTGTAAATAATTAGCTACACCTGTCTTTCATTTCTGAATTATATTCAGCAAAAAATCATAGGGAGATTTTAGTCACCAATATTCTTTGCATGCCAATAATTCCATTTATAACAATTATGCAGTGGAATATACTAAAGAAGAATTTTGTTTCGGCCTTTCTCCACCATTTTATTTAATTAACAGATATCATTATGAAATAACACTGCATTTATTCTTTTTAAAATTATTTTTTATTAAAAATTATAGCTAACATACAATATTATTAGTTTCAGGTGTTCATCATAGTTATCCAACATTTATATACCTAAAGAAGTGATCACCATAAGTCCAGCAACCATCTAACACCTACCATGCTATCACAATATTATTGACTATATTCCCCATGCTGTACATTACATCCCCATGACTTATTTGTTTCATACTTAGATATTTGGACCTCTTATTCTTCATCTTTTTAATCCCATTTTAAAATTTTTCAATCACAGTTGACATTCAATATTATTTTAATTTCAGGTGTACCGCATAGTGGTTAGACATTTATATAATTTAAGAAGTGATGATCCCCTTGACTAGTCTAGTACCCACCTGGCACTATACATAGTTATTACCATGTTATTGGCTATATTCTTTATGCTTTACTTTATATCACCATCACTATTTTGTAACTACCAATTTGTACTTCTTAATCCCTTCCCTTTTTTCACCCAGCCCTACAACACCCCTCCCACCTGGCAACCATCAAAATGTTCTCTGTATCTATGAGTCTGTCTTAGTCCTGTTTGCTTGCTTATTTTGTTCTTTCAATTCCATAAATAAGCAGAATCATATTGCATCTGTCTTTGTCTGACATACTCCACTCAGCACAGTACTCTATCCATGTTGCCACAGATAGCAATAACCCATTCCCTTCCATGGCTGAGCTATATTCCATCGAATATATGTATCACTTCCTTTTTATCCATTCATCCATTGATGGACACCTAGGCTGCCTCCACATCTTGGCCATTGTAAACAATGCTACAATTAACAGATGGATGAAACATGTTCCCTCAAAGTAGAGTTTTAGGTTTCCTTGGATAAATGCCCAGAAGTGAGATTACTGGTTCCTTCTTTGTCT